TTTAGGAGACGGCGTCTACTTTTCAGAAGACGGCGTCCACTTTTTAGGAGACGGCGTCTACTTTTTAGGAGACGGCGTCTACTTTTTAGAACACGGCGTCCACTTTTCAGAACACGGCGTCCACTTTTTAGGAGACGGCGTCTACTTTTTAGAAGACGGCGTCTACTTTTCAGAAGACGGCGTCCACTTTTTAGGAGACGGCGTCTACTTTTTAGAAGACGGCGTCCAATTTTTAGAAGACGGCGTCCACTTTTTAGAAGACGGCGTCTACTTTTTAGAAGACGGCGTCTACTTTTCAGAAGACGGCGTCCACTTTTTAGAAGACGGCGTCTACTTTTTAGGAGACGGCGTGTACTGCACATCTTTGTTAAACATTTTTTGATCAAATTGAAATCGTTCATTTGCCAAATATTTGATTCATTTGTAGTTTTTCGATTGAAGTTTGATGCTTGATTATTTTACATTTTTAAAAGAGAGTTGGATAAAGTTTTAGTATTCAGACGACAATAAAAACAATCAGGCGTTTCATTTGAAAATTTTTGTTACCATTGGTAAATTAGCGTTGGTATGCACGGTTTAGTTTATATTTATATCATATGGTATAGTTGATTGAAAAAGATGAAGAGAAATTATTTTTTTTAATTTTTTTCTATTTAATGGCACTCTTACGGTCCAAAATAATCTCTAGTAAACGCTTTCAAAAGACAAAGGTTCACCTGTCGGAAACAAGCGAGTTTATTATAATGCATTGGAAAACATCCTACAGATGGTGCTGTAGTGTGTTTTTAAAAAATGAACGCAACTGAACTGAACTGTCATTGCAGAGCGAGAAGGTTTGCATTTTCAAAGACAAAACAAAACAAGGCAAGGCAAGGCAAAACAAAGCAAGGCAAGAAGACAAGGCAAGGCAAGAAAAGGCAAGAAAAGGCAAGAAAAGACAAGAAAAGACAAGAAAAGACAAGAAAAGACAAGCATTGGTACAACAAGGTGAGGCAAAATTTTTTTTTCAAAATGTCAGATAGGTTGAATTTAAATTATACCGAACAACGATCTATTTATTCAGATGAACCGTCGCTATGTAGGCGCTGGTGTGGTTAATCTGGCAGTTGGAGACATTTTGGTGATCACGAACGTTCCGCATCAGTCAGCAGTTAACATGTCACGGGTTGTGTGGGGCTCGTTAGATGACTGGCTTAACAACAATGCCCAACGAATCATGGCAATCCTAGCACAGCCACCACCGGAAAACTCCATCATCGCTGAGTATCAGTATGGCGGCTACCGATTCGTGGTTCGTTATCGTCCACCTCAAACATACGCCCGGTTCATACGAGATTTCCTACTTTTGACCGAAACAAATGCTAACATCACACTCGTCCTACGAGTAGATGCCCGTCAAATCATGAACCAGAACGGTAACCATCCATAATGCAAATATGCAATATGCGACAAGCAATTCGCAAATCACAAAAAAAAGTCATATAACAACTTAAAGTTTTAAGATGCTTTAGAATATAAACTGCGAAAGAAACAAAAAAATGATAATTCTGTGAACTATTTGAATACATTCATTTTATATCAACCGAAAAGTTGGAGTTTTTATTTGCTTTCATTAACAAGGAAAATCATACTTCAGATCCTTCGGACCAATAACAATCAATTTGTACGCCAATGGTCAAAAAAAAGAACGCTGCGTCTGACCCAATTTTCAATTTGCGTCCAAATGACCGTAACAGACGCATCACGTTCGGGTGGTACATTTGATACGACCAAAACACGTTCTTCTCGTACAGCGATCAAACCAGCTATGACATATAAGCGATCCATTACTAAAATAATTTTGTACAATTAATTTCAATATTTTACAATTAATCCTGAAAAATTTCTTTAAATTAATTCGAACTCTTACCTTCTACAACGTTTCTTTTATAACAAATAGGAAATTCCTTCAAAAGTAGTCAAAATCTATCGAAAATAAAAGATTTTTCTATTGAGTCTGCTTCGTATAATGTTTCACGAAATAATGTTCCAAATCTATCCAAAGCGTTTTCGCAGTAGTCACGTTATACCAACAAAATAAACATATATTTGAATTAAACGAACGCACTTTGAGACAACGAAGTGTAACTAAGGTTTGAATGTTTATTTAACTGTCAACATTTGACAAATGGCGATCTATACTTACGTTTAGTATCAACCACCAATTTCTATACTTTTTCATATCTAAAAATTGTTCTGTTTTACTTTTTCGCAGGCCCATGTCGTGGACTGCGTAAAAGTATTGTATTTGGCCCAAATTTTAAGACACCCCAAAAATATGATTTCTATCCGTTTTCGAGGCCGTAGAACACGAAAAAATGGGTTTTAGAGCGATGTTTTGTGAGTCTGTTCCACGTCGTACGTTGTACGTTGTACGCAAATTTTTTAATGTAATTTGTTAACACGATAGCTCAACGACCAGTCGAGATAAATGAGATCTGGTGATGGCAAAAGTTTGGGCTTGTTTAGACTTAGAAACCATTAGATTTTCACCCACTTCAGATATAGCCTAGGATAACCTAGCCTATGGCCAACCTTTGAAAATCCCTGAAAATTCATACTTTTCTATGGAAGATACCTAAAATAGCCCCCCTATATGGTTTTCATCATATCAAACTGTTATTATTTCATCAAAATATTGAGAATTAGAGAGCAAGATTATATCATTTTCCCATGATTTCAGTATCAACTTCGAATTTGTAGGTGAAAATATTGAAAATTTCCGAAATGGTCACACTTTGCGTACAAAATCGGTCATAGCTCACAAACTAACCACCTTATAAAGATTATTGGCAACTATATATCACTTAATTTTTTTTGAAGAATCGATTTCCAGTTCAATCGACCGTATCTGAAGTCTCAATGGGGTCAAAAATGCAATTGTTCGCGGTGATATTTTCAACTCGCAATATTTTTTCCACTTGGAATAGAATTTTTGTGCATAAAGCTTGCAAAACGCATACGATTCAGAAATTTCATCCCGCAAACTCCAGTCTTTGTTATAAAATAACAGTGCTATTTGAATAACATAATATTTATTTCTCTACGGCTTTGGTATCATTTCTACATTTTCGTTCCAAATCCCTCGGAAAATACCACTTTTGTATGAAAGTTAAAAGAAACGTTTGAATTCATTTTAATCCAACATTTGAGCATTTTTCCAAAAGCCGTGACGCGATAATTTCTAAATATCACTAGTTTTGAAGGGCATTTTAATATTAAGAAATAATTTTTTTATTTGTCAGTGGAACAATTACTGTATTTCCAGATAAAAGTCAACCTTAACTTTTTATTGAAACGAATCAACAAACTAATGTTTATTGAAATGAAATTTCAAAAAAAATCGATTCTCATTGAATAAAGATTCAAATAATAATATTAAAACATAATCAATTTGGTTGTTTATTATTTGGATTGATTGTGAAACAGATCACTAAATATAGAGAGTATTTGGATCCCACTGCGAAAAAGTTCGTCTTACTACGGTAAGACCATTTATTTTCTATTGGCAACATGACAGAATCCACGGAAGCCTGTTTCTTCGCAGAATTTCATTAAAAAAAGTGCCGTGTTCGAAGTATTTGTAGATTTTCTTCAATTTCTCGAACGAAAAACGATTCAAAAATTCACGACAAGATTTTGTGAATTGAATGGAGGCGTTGAACATTCTCTGTGCTGCCAAATCGAATGTAGAGCAAAAATTCAGGAAAAATCCACTTGAAATCATTTTAAAATAGTTCAGCGGTGTAAACGGATGAAAATAAACTGACCATAGCAGACATGAATTGCTCATTTCGTACGCACGGGGAATTAATCAATAAAAATTTAATCAAATTAAATCATACATGGGAAATGAAGGACACATTTTTGAACAACAACAAAACAGTACGTCATTTCTTAAGTGAAAAACTCGGTTGAGTCCAACTCAAATAGTGATTTTATTGATTGGAATTTGAACATAGTTGTAGAAAATGACAATGGTGTTACGTGTGCACTAGGGATTCATATTATTATATATTGAAATTACAAATATAGCTTACACTTGAATTGAAAATAAATCAACTCTCTGTCACTATCAAAACGAAATTTTCTTCCGTGCTACTCAAAAATCTTATATCACGATAAGAAACATGAATCTAAATTACTAGAATGGATCCACTGGGCGACAATAATATTTTTTTACCTAGATACTTACCCTGAAAAGTCCATATTTGAGGAACTTATTGATCAAAAGTCGATTTTTTTGGGAGTTGAAATCGAAACAATCGAATACGAGGCCAGAAGCTAGGGGAATATCACGCAAAAAATTCTATTGAATTTCTATTGATTTTGGCATTTTTTAAAAATTAATTTCAATTATATTACATTATGCGAGATATCTGAGATTTTTTTCATTTTGGTCAATTTTTGCAGATATTTTAATGCTGGAAGTGGGTTTTGGCGGATCCTCAGGATCGTTCAGAACTGCTCCCGATTCTGGAAGTGGGTTTTGGTGTATCTTCAGGATGGACCAGACTGGGTTTGACAATGCCCTGGCCCATCCTTAGGATCCACTTCCAGAACCGGGAGCAGTTCTGAACGATCCTGAGGATCCACCAAAACCCACTTCCAGCATTTTTGAAGCGGTAATGATGTCAGCACATGGTGAATATGAGTGAATAATACAGATTTTGCGAAATATTTGAAATAGCTTAGATTTCATTAGATTTTAATGAAATAAATGAGATAGAAATAAGTTTTGCGAATAAAAATTGCGTGATATTCCCCTAGGCCAGAAACATATGGAAACAACCCTCGATATGGTCATGAAAGTACCCAAAATGTTCTTGAGGAATCATACTAGAAGTTTAAAGACAGAAAAATAGTAAAAATTGGTTGCTCAATGAAATCTCCTCTGCTTATGGGTATTGTCAAAGTAAACGGTTATATCATTTTTTCAACTTTTACCGACAAATGTGCCAGAACAAAAAGCACCAAAAGCGCCTAAAAGTTGTCAGCAATCGTTATTCCTAGATTACTTACATAAGGATCGAAGTGAAGTTACTCCGTTTGCAGCATTTGAATAAAATCATTATCATGATAATCGGCCAGAGTTTCGAGCTGCTAGATTTATATACACACCATTCAATTGCATTGAATTCAGTCAATTGCTGATCGCTGAAGAATAAACTTGAAAGTTTTTAACTTAAGTTTTTTCGTGAAAAATTTACAATTTCAAAATCGATTAACAAACAGTTAATATAAAATGGCAAAGATTGCATTGTTGTTTATCGCTGCTTTCTGCGTTGTTCAAGTGAGTGTTCTGAAAACAAGTAGTTGCATGTTCCTTTTCGCATAGTTCACGATCGAATTGAAACGGATCAATAAACACAATTTTAAATTTTATTCACATCACAAATTGTAATTTCAAGTTAAATGAATAGGATTTAAGTCTGAGCTGGTTTTGCAAAAGGTCAACGATCTACGCGACGAGTAATCTCTGCATTACTCGCCACTCAAATCAATCAAAGTCTGAGATTTGGAGCACTGTAGACAGTTTGTTGAAGAAAAGAGACGTAATACTGACTAATCGATTTGGCTCTTTCAAAAACGTTCGCATTTTCGAAATGCCCGAATCAAATTTTCGAACATTTTCCCCACTTTTTCTATGAAAATCGGACCCCAAATTAGTTTTGGCCTGTTGATGATTCTTCACGTTCGAACGCATTCTCTCATCAGTAAATGCTCCCATATCAGTGTTTCTTATTGGCCATCCCGTGTGAAAAACAAATGACTGACTGATTTTAATTGCCTGTTAACTGAAATCTACTAATAATCGACGTTAGTTTACTGCGCAGTTGTTTTGTATGAAAAATATTCGACTACCATGGAATTTCAACCAGTCACTTCAACTGAGACATTTTTGACTGCAGTTGTGATTGCAGTTAACTATGATTATTGTTTTTGTACTGGATAATCACTTTTATCCAGTCGACTATGTCCCAAAATAATCAATTGGCTGACAACTTGAACTGGATCATGTGACCAGTCAGAATATTTCCACACGGGATTTGTTGCACTGGATATTGGTTCGAAAAGTGCATCACACTTGAAAATGATTCATTCTGTGTATCACCGAATTTGTATTCCATGTCTTTGAACTGTTCGGCAGAAACATCCGAAAATAAACAAAAATCAAAATAAAGTAGATATTTTCATTCAGTTAGACGGAATTTGTTCATAAAAAACTGGTATTATTTACAATTTGCGCGTTTGTAGTAGCATTTAATCAGTATGCAATTTGCATGTTGATTATTGTTGCCCGAAATGAACTTTTCTATCTTGAGATGAATGGTAGGGTAATATAAGACGAACAATGTGAATAACCTTGACAAGAAGCAATAAATTGTAAACGTTGTGCAATTGGAGAGCAAAATGCATTGAGTAAAATCATGTCATGTCAAATATGAACTTTGGTTTCATACGCAAACAGTTGACGACGTAGGAATCCTTATCAATAAATTGTGTTGTGACTTTAACTCCAATCAGAGAATTGAATGAAAAAGAAATCAACAGAAAAAAATACGAAATGTCATGAATTTTAAATAATTTATTTTGCTTCGCAAACTATTTTCGACATCTAGATTACAATCAAAGACGAACGTTCACTTAATCGATGTGTTTTCCATTTTTTTTTCTATTTGCAGCTTTCGTTGGCAGCTCGTGTCTCTCGTGAAAGTGCAACTGAAACAACCACTGAATCACTAGCAGATCAAATAAATAATAGACTTGACGAATTGAAGAAAAAAGCTCAAACATATTTTACTAAAGAAAAGACCGACGTATGTATATGTACAGTGCCGATCAAAAGTTTGAACCAACTTTAAAAAAACGCATTTTTCGACAAAAAATGGGATTATTTTTATA